GCATTCAAAACCTTCTCCGACACATTCCCTCATTATCTCGGTGGCGCTTAACACTGAAAGGAAAAATAAAAGGCCCTCTGAGCTTCTCCTGCAGATGGAAGAGCAGGGTGGAAAAAAAGCTACGCAATTTCCTTAATTACAAAGGAAATCAAATTCTGGTCACCAGGGTCCTCGCCGCCTCCTGTTTTACAGGTACTCTGCAATTAAATGAGGTCAAAGAATTTGGATGTCAGGTTGATTCTGATTAATGAATCTGTTTGATGCGTAATATCTGGGTGCCCACGATCTCCCGCCTACACCTGGGCACCAGGGCGGTCTCATTGAAGTTCAGACATGTTGTATTATCTCATAATCAGTGGGGAAATCCCTATAAAACTTCATCCCCACTTTCATAACTTTACCATAACAAGCTTTTTTGCCTGATGACTCACTCAGTTGCTTCAGTGGATACCACCTTGATGCGCATGTCATGCTCTGTAATACAAGAAACAGTTGAAGTAAACTATAACTAAGCTCGAGGACTGACAGTCCAGCAAACCTGAGGAAGCCAATTAGGCACTGTGGCAGGACAGAAACTCATCTTTTCCAAACATGGTTGACATCATATTGAAAAGCACTTCAAATTCAAGATCTTGTGTACAAGTCAAGATTTACCAATCTAAGTGGCAGACCGATATCAGCCAAGCCTAATTATCCGGCCTACACTTTGCCAATGACCACAAGTGGTTATTTTGATCAAATGTCGTGTAAAATTAACAAGGATGCAACTCTATTGAAATTTTGGCTAACACTTAGAATAATTCATTAGATTTTGAAGCTGATAGATATGAATCTACATTTGTGTGGGTTGAAAGGAAAACAAAACTCATAAATAAATACAGTCCAGATGTATGACTCAAATAATACACCAGACATAATTATTTTAATTAATTCCAGTTAATTTATGATTTCAAAATGATTTATTACTTTTAAAAACAAGTGCCGAAATCTTTCTTATCCTTCAATCACTTAAATGTAGTCACCTTTAAAATAATTGGAATAAAGAAACTTTCTTTTGAAAAGTTAAATGGAAAATATAACTTTCACAAATGTCATGGAAGAAAAATTACAGGCTCTGAGTAAACAATTCACTTATTTGTGGCTAATTATAGGCTAACTGGAAATAATGGGGTATGATAACTTGGCTATCATAATAATAAGCTCGGCCTATTTTACTTATCAGTCTGATAACGATAACATAAGTTGCATTCAGCACCCAATACATCGCTAAGAAAAAATGTTCACTTTAATTTCAGAAAATCTAATTCTCAATGTCGTTATCAATATTGGCCAATGAAAGACTCATATCTGTCAAATCCTACTAATCCAACACAACACACACTGTGCAATAAATAGAAAATTATGCTGAGTTATATTAACAGATATGACCTGGCTTTAACAGATTATTCAAAATGTCCATACCATAGAATAAAACTGTGGCACCACTAGGGGTGGAACGGTACATGTATTCGTATTGAACCGAAACGGTACGGGCGTCACGGTTCGGTGCACGAATTTGCACGGAGAATACACGGTACAAATAAAAAAAAAACTCTTAAATAGCGATCAATCTCGCTCTATTCGCTTTTGGTGTGACTGTGAACGCAGCAATGAACAGGCTGCGATCAAGATTGCAATGCTGGAGTGTGTGTGTGTGTGTGTGCGCGAGAGAGGGAGAAAGAGAGAGAGGCGCGGGCGCGAATCGCGCGATCGAACAGTGTGTGTGTGTGTGTGTGTGTGTGTGTGTGTGAGAGGCACGGGCGATGAACAGTGGAAACATAAAAACATACTCCGTCATTTTTTTCATACAGGACATCATTAAAACTGCAAATTGTTTACTTATATTTGTGTACACTCGCAATAAAACACAACATTGTGCTTTTGTCACACTCTAAACTCTTGTCAAACTGTAACCTACTGTTAACAAAAGTTTTTAATGGTAGTATTATTTTATACGGAAATCAATTATTTATAATTCAGATGAGAATAAAGTTAGGGTTAATTAAAATGAAGGAAAACAAATATCTTGATCTGAAATAGCAAATTAATTTTAAATTCATTCAGGTACAATTACCAAACATATCTCAAGGTCTTTTCGTCTTTTTAATAATTTCATTTATAAACGAATTATATAAAACTACTGTCAGTGCACTACAAATAAACTGGTTCTATGCCTTTATTAATAAAACTTATTTAAAAAATACAAGGCTTAAGACATTTATAAAAATGCCTTCTGCATTTTTGTTTTGCTTTTCACTCCATTCTACCGAAATCATACCGAACCGTGACGTCTGAACCGAGGTATGAACCGAACCGTGACTTCTGTGTACCGTTCCACCCCTAGGCACCACCCAACAAAGAGCACTGCATGTCAAACCTCCTGAGACTCCATCACTAGGCAGCTAATGTGAAGCTGCCCCATTCTGTCTCAGCTTTAGTATAATTATCTTCATGTGCTTTAATTATTTCCCTATTCCTCCTAATGATGTGCTTCATTCCCCTTATTATGAGAGACATTCGCTTGTGTCAGTTCCAGCATAGCGACACAGTTTGGATTGCAACAGCATCTATGATTATGAACAGGAGAACTAAAAGAAAATATATACTTGAAAGGTGAAATCAATTGGAGGTCACCGTCAGCCATGCAATCATTGTGCTATTCATAAATGCATTAAGAACAATAATCTAAACCTTACTTAACCTCAATGCTGATTCCAGTGCATTTCCAATCATCAAAGAAACCTCACCAAGCATTACCATTGATTTTTTTTTAAATGTTGAAGGATTTTGTGCTTTTATGCATTTGTACGAAGTACTACGAACCATTTGATTATTTTTTTAATTAGCCTACAACATCAGTGCTTATAAAGTTCATCCATTCATTACTATAAAACTCAAAATAATGATGCACAGCTCACTAAAGGAAAGCATGCAGCATTGCAGCTTGATAGGGAGGGTGTGAAAAGCTATAAATGAGAACTTGGTTACAATGCCTGTATTCATCTCACATCAGGTCACTCGTCGCTACCTTCTGTCAACCAGGCCATGGGAAAACAAGAGGAAAAAAAAACAATGGCGGAAACAGCAGCCAAACACAATAAGAGAGTGGATTACACTGTGTAAATCAGGCCAAAAACCAACAGAAACTAGGATTAGACTGCAGCTGAAGAGCAGAGGGGAATGCACAGACCGCAGCAGTAGTCACAGAACCCTACAGCTACTTGACAGCTTGCTAAATGGAAGCCATTTAGTTAACTGAAAATCAATAGCTTCCTCAAATGGATCATGATTGTTTGTCAAGTTTCTTGGCCGAATCATGCGACATGTTTCCTACAGCCTGGCTCAGAGGGAGTGGTCCATTATGAGCAATCACACACGGCACCCTTCAGTTCTCCTGGACCTGCTCTCTGTCTGTCTTCATACAGCCCACTTACAGCGTGGAGGAGGAAGCGGATCATAATATCTGTGCGTGTGCGGATCAGGTTATGCCTACGAGGATAGCAAAATCTGAAATCGAAACAACCAACACTCCTCGTGAAGAAAATAGCTTAGGTACATAACAAAAGTACTAAGTAATTTAAAAAAATAAATGTACATGTAAAAATGCAAAAGGGTTTGCTGGTTTTCCGAGACTGGTCAGGGTGATCTGTTGACTGGGAGACCAGCTTAAACCAGTTAAAACCAGCAAACTACCAGCAGCTGATGTTTTTTCAGGAGGGAAAAAACACCATTGGATGACGAAAGATGACTCATTTAAATGTGCACAATTTGCATTTGTATTTTCTTAATTCAAATGTGAATGTACTCCCATCATCTAACTTACACATTACCTAGCAAATCAATCAATCAGCCTAAACTGGTTTGCTGATTTAAGGTGGTCTCTCCAGGCCTGGTCAGTAGGCTGGGTTTTATCACACACAGCTAAACCAGCCAGGTGAACGCCAGCTTGGTCAGATATAGACTAGATGAGACCAGAAAACAATCTGAGGCTCGTTTATGGCTATTTGTTCATTCATCTCTTATACAGTAAAAACAGAAGAAGGGAGGCAAACTTAGATGGACTTTAAAAAGACAGATTTGTTATTTAAATGATCAACAAACCCATTTTGGACATGAGATAATAGGCTCTTGGACGCTGTGGGCGCTTCAGTGCGTGAACAACTCATAAACAAGCCGCGATAATTCATAAGCATAACCAGATCATATGCGAGAGCTTTTTTATCAGCAATAAAGAGCGCAGTGAAGTGAATCAAGGATTCAGTTAACTTACATGGCTGTACTTCACAAAACTCTCCAAATATACTTCACTGTAAAATACTTAGTCCTACTAAAAGCAGGGGGAAAGGCGTGTATAATGATTATGTCGTGGTAAAAAAAAAAAAAAAAAAAATACTTTTAAGCAAACCGAACGTGTTAACTCAGTTAAAACAAAAATAACTTATGCTGCTGGTTAATTCACTTTAAAATACAATGCACTGTCAATCATTCTGACGTGGATTCGATCCAAAACAAAATCCACTTCACTGCTTTTATAACACGTCTGGTGCATCCACAGATGATTCGTTAATTCAACCACTGATTTCAAGCATCGCAGATGAGACTACGTTCCACTTGTTTACATTATAACGAACAACTTGAATGAAAAATACACTATAACAATAATTCAAAGACCCACACTATGAACCACGTCAATCATAACTTCTGAGGGAATGTTTAAACGGGCGTCGTAGCCTAGCAAACAACAGCCTGAAACAGTTATTTTTTTTAGCTTTTGATGGCACCTTCAATGCTTTTATGACAACCGAGACGAAAGCTCTCCATTATTAGAAAAGTTCGACTCATAAGTGCAACTCAGTCTCCTTTTGCTGTCAGGACAACAAGCTTATGCTTCCCATATCCTCAAAACACACACAAGTTTGAAAGTGCGCAGTCCCTGTAACTCCAGATAAACGGGACTTTACCTGTTGGTCCCTCTACGCTGTCGGCGTGAATCTGAACAGCCAGGATCAAGAGAAATGCGCAGGTATTCATTTTCTGTTGTTAGTCCAGTTGGGAAAACAAGCCGAAATCATTTCAGTGGCTCCAGTAGTTTGGATGGTGAAGTTGTGGACTCACTCCCGTTCATCGATTCCCGAAATCCAGCCGAAGCTCAGTTCAGAGTCGCGCGAAGTGATACGGGGGCAGTGCGATCTGTTCGAACTGACGTCAGGATAAACAGTTCGAAGCGATGTTTCTTTCTCTCCGAGCGCACTTTCTGGCGCTCGAGTGTGCGTAGTGATCTTGAAAGTGTGCGAACGACGCCCCCATGCGGGCCTTTAGAGAAGTTTAGCTCGAATCATCTTGGTGTTCATTATGATTCATCGTAATCTCTTTGACCTGGCTACTGAAGACAAGGAGCGTCTATAACAGGGAAATTAATGATTTATATTGGTTAATAAAATGAGAGGAAAAAGTGTATGCATTCTTGTATTCTCTAAAACAGAATTCTAGTTGTCATCCTTTGTTGACTCCAAGGTTGCATTGCTGCCTCTGAGTTGTTTATATCTGATACACACTAATATAGAACTGTATTTTCCTCAAAAGGGTTCATAAAAGGGTTCGGTAGACAAAACATATGTCCATTTTGTTATGAAAGTACATATGAAACGGTATGAGAGACTTTAAAGGTTTTTTTTTTACTAGTATTACTATCAATTAATTAAACCTACATCAAGATTTAAATGTAGCTAAAAAAGATCCAGAGAAAAATGCAATATTAGTTTACAAGGCATTCTATCTTCATTTTTTTTTTTGTGGCATTTTAGCTTAAGATTGTTTTAACATAACATGTATATATATATATATATATATATATTTAAATGTCTTAAATGTGAATAATATAATATAATATATTTTGGCATATAAGTTTGCTGAGTTTGCAACTGTAGCTGTAGGCTACATTTAGCGGCTTGAATTTGCATGGAAAATTAAGTGTAAATTAACAAATCTTTTATGTATCATAAACAGTTCCTTGCATGACATGGTTTTGAATGCATAGCTGTCAAAACTATGTCATGCAAGAAACAGCATATATAAGATTTGTTATTGAAATTACTCTTCATTTTTCATGCAAATTCAAGCAAGCCGGTAAACCAAGCAGACTTTCACTGTAGGTTTCCAGTTCTCCAGAACAATAGCCATTGTGAGGCCAACAAGCTATGGGGCATCTTATCTACGCGGTCCCACAGGTTGGATGGATTGTGTTAATCTGTTTAGGCTCCACAAAGGAAGGACTACCTATTGAGCCATGAATAGAAGCAACAGGGCCAAATTGAACCTCAGCTGCCCAAGGTCCAGCCATGTCCCGCAGCCAGCAAGGATGGCAGGTGCAGATAGCCACATGCAGATCCATTCACGTTTCTCATACCAATTTAATTTCACACAGCAGCGAACAGTGCAACCTTTTTGTCTTTCTATCACAATCAGAATACTGCATTGAATATTGAATATTCACAGGTGCAGATCAAGCAATATGATAGTCAGCTATTTTATTTAAAAAAAAAAAAACAGAATAAATGATGCCAGAGAGTATAAGTTGGAGCAAATATGCACCTGTTTAAAGCAGAATGACAATCATGTGTACATTTATTGTGCTTAAACCTCAAATATGGGAAAGTACAGTATGCTATTGGGAATCACCCAACAGGCCACAAAGTAGCAGATCATCTTCCTATCAACTCAAAAATGGCTCATAGGATAAATGTTCAACTAAAAAAAAAAAAAAAGTAAAAAAAACATAGATATTTTTAGAAAATGTCAATGCAATAAAAGTCAATGAGGTCCATTATTATTTTGGACCACATTGACTTGTACTGTACAGACAAAACATTTGAAACTTTTTTTTGCATACTGGTTTGGAACATCATCAAGTTGAGTGAAACATTTTTAGGTGAACAACCCAAAGTTTGCTTATTTTGCCTAGAAAATAGTCCCTAATTATGCTGATACTGCAGCAATAAATGCATGATCTCTGGGACCTGCCTTGAGCAAAGGCACAAATCACTGCGTAATAGTCACCATCTTCTATTTGACCTTGTTCAGTCATTGCTTTGGTGGGCACACTGCAGCGGTTCATCATTTGTTTAGGTGTCCCATGTGAACGTCAGAATGGGGTCTGTATAGCATTATGAAGGTTGAGACAGGTGCGCTTTCCTCCACAAAACTACTTTGAGCCCCTGTTAAGGGAGTCACCAGTACACCCACAAACCTCTTTTTCGAGGTAAATGACAAAAGAGTGATGGACTATGCCCAGTTTTATTTGATTCGAGCGGAGCGTGGGAGGATTATGAAGAGCACCTCTCACGTAAAATTAGATTGTGAGCACGTATGTGTCGTGTATAGGGAAAATTGTTCTAAGAATAAATACAGTATAGGACTGGAAACTGTTTATATGATTAAACACTTGAAAAAAAAAAAGATTGGACTGTTGTGAGAGAAAACAGTCTGAAGGTTGTGACCTCATACTGAGAGCAGAATGATCTCTATTTTAAGACACTTACATGGACTGTAATCTGTCAGGGAGACAGATATGTTAACATGTCAGACCATATACAACAGGATTGTCATGCCATCTCATTCAGCGGTTTCTTAATATTTCATTGCCATCTGGTGGTAAAAATTCAGAATGTGAGAAGTATTAACATATAATGGCTAGTTACATTGATTTTATTTAAATCCCATCTTTTAAAAAAACTCTAAAAATAAGAAATACCTGGCTAAAATTCATAATAAAAAACATCTTTAATACCTAAAAATAAAATAATAAATATTTACAGTTCAAACACCATATTAGATTAAAAAAAATACGTTGCACTTTTTAGATGAGATTATTCATTGGGTAACCTTGACATTTTTATTCCAGAAAATGAATGGTAACAACCTTAAAGGTATATAACGTGCTTTCAAGAGAAATGTACAGTACCCTGGTTAAATATTGCTATAAAATATCAAAAAAAAAAAAAAAGAAATATTTTGGGTGCAGGGCTAGTAAAAAATAATATTGTCAAAAGTTCAGTACTTAAAAATACAACTTACTAATTTATGCAAGAAAAAAGGTATGACTTTTCTTTGCTTACAAATAATTGTAATTTCATAGGAATATAATTTTTTTTTTCATAGCACGTGGCGAAAAACAATTATTTTTCCAAAATGTACAAAAATTGCGTATTGTAAATTATTGGAGGTTGTCATATTTAGGATCTGATTGCCATCATACAATGGAGAAGGAAATAGAGATGCAGGAATAAATTAGTAAATGATATAATACTCCAAAAAATATTACTTGCTACCGGTATTTATTTTTGAGGAACTTGTCATATGTGATTATACATGGTGTAAATACTTGAATTAGATTTTTGACTTCTTTCATTAAAAAAATAAATAGCCTACTTGAATAAGTCTTCTGATTCTAAAATGTACATTTATAAAGGGAAAAAAAATAGTAAATAACATGTAACTAGTTTTAAAGTAGTTTTTAAAGCGTAATTTGCTACATAAACGGAGAACAATTTACACACGAGACTATGAGATTTGTATATTAATTGCGATTCAAAACATAACAAAATATTTTATTTTATGTCCTGCAGAAGAAAAACTATACAGGATTGGAACAACATGAGGGTGAATAAATTATGAGGGGGGAAAAACAAACAATCAATGAGAGTACTTTCCCTTTAATGTTGCATAATGTATTCCAATTGGTCTCTATACTCACTATTAGGCCTACGTGATTCCTGAATTTGCTATTGATCGGCTTTATTGCTCTGATGGTCTAAAAGTCCAGAAGTCAAAACATCTGCCACATCTAATATAAATAACACAAAACATACAGCCACGTATATAGCCAATGATATGCTCGCTCCACACACAGAACAGCTGTAGCAAATGTACTTACATTTCAAAAACTTGTTAAAGGCCACAGTCTGTTATTGTCACCTCACAAAAGTTTTACCCCTGAGATATGAATAGTAGGCCTATTTTTGAAGAGAAAAAATATTGACAAAAAATTCTGTCATAAAAACCCATCAAATCATGAAATCTAACTAGCTGAATACTATTCGCTTTATCTTACACACCCAAATATCACTCACGGAATCAATTTGCCACTAGGTGTCAGCGTAAGCTCAAGATTACTGCCACAGTAACAAATGACTGATTGAGTGCATTTTAAAAAAGTTATTGCTTACAGGTTGAATTTATATTTGTTCTTTTAGCATGAAAATCAGGAGTACTGCAACGTTTAGACAGCCATTTAAGCAAACATACGCATAAGCAGCTGCAGACAACATTAGAAGTGCACCTCTAGAATAATAAGCAATCAAACTCTGGCAAAATAAAGCCACAACATATACTGTAGCCTATAGAAGAAATGTTTTAGAATGGATGGACAACACCTTAAAGTACTGGACACTCCCTGCCCCATAAGCTACATCTCTTTTTGTTGTTGTTGTTTTGTTTGTTTGACCAGTTAATGACAAGTTTGACATAGCCAATGTCTGTGTCAGTAATATCTTCACTTCTCCTAGAGAGGGCATCACAAGTCAATTATTACAATAGCTTTGTAAAGGGTTTAAAGTTGCCAACTTTATTAAGCCTACAAAAGTATTATTTTGGAGAAAATGGAATTTACTTGAGTAGGCTACTGTTGATACAGAATACTTTTTACTCAATTACATTTCTGAGTCAATTAGAGATGTGTTTACTAATTTCAGTGTAAACTATTTTATAAGGTGATTTGGCCTTATGAAGCAATAGTTATTTAGTTATAGAAACTGAAGTGTAAATACTGTCGGCAAGGAGTTAAACTAAACTATCATCAGTTGGTGCTTAATTTGTATAACAATTTCAGGAAACAGGTCTCAGGACAGGGGTCAGTGAGTCTTATTTTGGCTTGCCGTATCTCAAAATAAACGCAAATTGAATATATGTAGCGTGTATTGTGTACTGAGTTTATATTATGGATGACAGTGTTTATGTCAGTAGGCCTATCTTGTTCCATTGTATGTAGCTAGCTGCATATGTTCACAAGTCCGCCTCATTTCCACAAATCGGTTCCTTCGAACAGCTCGCTTTAAAGAACCGACTCTTGTCATCACATAATTACGCTATCACGTGGTCCCTTATGTAGCGTTTCTCGATTAAGTTTATTTGTTTAGTTTAATTAAGGGCGTTCGTTGTATTTCCATAATTCAAATTATTTAAAAAAAAAAAAACGAATAATTTAGTAGCTAAATTAAATTCAAGTGCATATTTTAATAAAATGCAGCCGTTAAAACCAATTCGGGTTTCGTTAGGTAATGTTGGTGCATAATGGGTTTTAACGCAATGGCCACCCAACTTTCTCATTACATGCACGGTCCGTTGTACCCTCTATCGTTTTGTTGAAGAAGAAAAAAAGTGAGAGGGGAACATCTCGCTTTACACAAGTCAGGTATTGAAACAGGAATTGTTAGTTGACTAGGACGTCCCGAGGCCAATAAGAGGAGAGTGCATTAACCCATGCCCAGTTGGGGATGGGCTACTTTGCTACGTCTTAACTTGGATGAGAAGAGTGAGAGGCTGTAGACTGATTACGACAAACTAAAACTCATGGCATAAACTCTGAACGATAGAGTCAGCGACGGGATATCCCGAAGGAAACCATGCATGCTAGATATGCAACGCTTTGGGATACTATGGAATTCTCTAGGATTTGTCTTATTCTCAGCATCGAAACGCTGGTGTTGGTATGCGGTCAAAAGGGTAAGATTGTGCATATACTAGTACATTAATACGGTGGAAGGTATTAAATACCTACTTAAAATTTAATTTAATTAAAAAATGTTTTAAAAAAGTATAATTTATACAATATTATAATTAGGCTATTAATATTCTAAAATGTTTATAAAATATTGTTTAAGTCAACAAAACAATGAAATAACACAAATTCTTATATTTTAGATTCTTCAAAGTAACTGCCCTTTTTTAAATTACAGTTCTGAAGAACACTGTCAAAACAAACTTTAAGATGTAACTGGGATGCTAAATGTTTTAAGTTTAGTTCCCATGATGTAGTCTATGCTGGGCACTTGTGGGCTGTTTTTCCTTCACTCTATGGTCATCTTGCCCATTTAAAAATATGAACTTATAACTAGGATCATGAGCAACAGGTCATGGAAACCTGAAAATATCTGGTGCAAAAAGAAAAATTCATGCGATAGTCATTGGTAGGGAGTTCAATTTATTTTATGCTAAGCTCAACAATATTTCAAAATATATCAGCTAGAAATCACCTTTGACTGCGTTCTCTAAAAATTATTTTGAGAAGTATACACAAAGAATAAAGTGTGTATGCTTATAGCAATATTTGTCCATATAAATTAAGATCACAATCATATCAGCATCCAGACTGCTGGACTGGAAGATGTCCTCAAGCTCTGCCTGTGTTTAGAGAGTCTGTTAGGAAGAATTACTTTGTTTATGGTATTTCTCAATATGTGCGGGGTGAGCATGAATCACTACAGCCGGAATCACAGACTATGAGGACTAAGGAAAATGTTTTCCAGTCAAACGTACACCCCCAGAACTACGTGTACAATACTTCCATTCCGATGAGCCAGATGGGATGCTGACTGTTTTTTTGGGATGTTATTGTAGCGGAGTGGAAGCTGACATGTTTTTGAGATTGTACTATATTATAGAAGAGTGTCCAGGATTTACCAGAACACAAAAGAGCAGGAAAAAACAGCTTGTCCAGAAATATGTTTGAGTTTACAGTTGTAATATATGATTGATTTAGAGTAATTGTGATGTGACAATCTAAACAGCCGAACATCCTGCCATGGGCTCAGGCCTGCAGGGACGTGCCTGCAAATCTCATGACGAGAAAATAAAATTACATGCTGCCTGATAGTGTAGCGCTGATGATGGATTGGTATCCATGGTCCCAGTGCATTCATAGTAGCTCAGCTGTAAGGAATGTTATATTGTGTGTCAGCAAGTGTCTTAATTATACCCAGTCTATGCATCCTCAATCTCTCCATGTTTTAAACACCTTGCTGTAAACACAACTCGCAGACATCGCACAGATGTCATCAAAGTGTCTGCCTGCTGTTAAATAATGTCTACAGATTGCCTCAGGCTGTGCTTCATGAGGTGTTCATGTGAATTTTTGAGCTGTGGTTACAAAAAAAACGGGCCTTGTTAAACTGTGGCCAACTATTGTGTCTAATTTCTGAACACTAGCACCACCAAATGGAATTGAAGAAATTATTGTTTTCACACAGGTTTTTCTAAACACTCACCCTGCCATTGGTCAAATAAAACAAATAGCCCCACCCCAAATTCACATCATTGGTTGAGCTAGTGTTGCTGGGCTGGGCTGGATCAAACAACAAGCAATGTTTTGATAGAAGTGACGGTATTTGCACTTATCAGGGCAAGTTAACCTATAAAAATGGATTACTTGTAGTTGTTTTGGAGAAATCACGCACTCAGGGCTAGAGCACACAGAACACGTTTTTGCTGTTACCTGCAGGTCAGTGGAACGAAAAAAAAGTGCAAGGTCTAGACTAGAGAAGCGTTTTTTTATTTTATTTTTATGTTGCTTATTTTAACTTGGGCTCTGCTTTTTTAGAATTCCTTGTCACGTGCGAGACATTACAAAAGATGCAAAATGCGAGCGCAGTGGTTAAAGACGTCCATCTAATGCGTTTACAAAGAAAAACAATGGAAAAGTAGCTTAGTGGGATGGAAAAACGCATTCTGTGTGAACGGCCCATTAAGCTTTAAATATTAAAACGTCATCACTTTTTCACAATTTATAGGCAGAATCCATCTTTTTAATTAATTAATTTCCTATCTATTTTGTACATTTGTCTCTTAACATGTATGTTTTGTATTGCATAAAAATTTTGTCAGTGCTGCAAAATAAATTGCCCTTTGGGGATACTTCAAATTGATTTGATAATTAATACAATTTAGCAACATAATATATTCTGTTTCTGTTATTATTTGGTCTCCAAACTTTATTTAACCAAACAGATTACACACAAGATAACAACATGATTCGTATATTTTTTAACGATCTTATTATGCCCCATTGATGGTTAGGTTTAAGGATGGGGTTAGGTTTTTCTAAAAAAAATTATAATTCCATAGAAATCACATTACAAAAACGCCAACTCGTAAAATAGTTATGTTTTTGGATGAGATTGGGTTGAAATAACATCTAATTGCAAGAAACTGCTTCATCCACAAATCTTAGCTGGGGTTAAATACTGACTGAAATGTATCTGAAAATGTATAAAGAGTGATTTGTAGATCAAATCATTCTCACCCATGTCAAACAATCAACTCTTTAACCACACTGAGTGAATTGTTTGAGCATTACCAGTTAACAGCCTGACCACAAATCATGTTTGTTTTCCTATGCAATGATTAAGATTGTTCATAGCAACAAGAAGTTCAGTAGATTTGGTGGAGATAAATTGCACCTAAAGCGGAAAGAAGGGGGCCAGAGAAGCTTTAACCCCAATGAATCAGAGGTGACTGAGAAATAAGGAATGAAAGACGGACGATGAACTCAGACCGCTCTACTTTGTCACACAGCGTCTAGACCATAAATGGAGCAGGAGACTCAAAAACATTAGATACATTTGGCAATTAATATTGACTCTGGGATTTAGTTGAGCTCCAAACTAGTTGCCAATTGTTTTGGGGTTTTGTTGCGGTGATGATGTCTTGTTAATGAACTTGGTAGGGCATGACTGTGGAAGCTACCCTATAACACAGCATTGCCATCAGCTAAACCCTACTGTAATTATAGCTTTAATGAACATCAGTTATGGAAAGTCCCTCAAGTGTGACTAATACTGATATTGGCAAGCCCCCTTGCCACACAAGCTTTAGCGATCCACTCTTCAATACGCAGCCAGCGACCTGCCAATACCCACAATTCTCACACTACTGTAAATGTGCCCCGTCTCATTTTCCCATGGGCTAGAAACATGCCAAGAGAGAAACTAGTTAGCACATTTGATGACTAATGGAAGTTAAATGAAAGATAAAATGTCTGGTTTAATTATGTGTGGAAACAGACCACAAAACCAGAACATGAACCGAAGATAAAATGCCTTTTCAACTACTTTCGCATTAATATCATTTTGATCTTCCCTCTCTTTTTTTCCCTTTAGGCAATGGGTGTGGACATACAGTCCTCAGTCCCACCAGTGGCACACTGACCTCGCTGAACTTCCCGGGAACCTACCCTAACCACACCCAGTGTGAGTGGAGCCTAAGGGTAGCGAAGGGCCAGACTCTGCTCTTGACCTTTGGGGACTTTGACTTGGAGTGGAGCCAAGACTGCATATCTGGCTCTCTTACCATCACAGACACCAGTGGAGCCACTAGAGTGGGTATGACCCTCTTCACAGAGACGTTATAGTCCAGCCCAGTTGACTGTATGCACCAGTAGTATGACTTTTCACCTGCCACCTTTTCATCTTGAAATTACTTATCATATAAACTATATTAAATATTTCAAATTGTAAATGAAAAAATTCAATATAATTATGATAAAGTTAAATATGAATGAAATAATTTATATTAAATACCTTCTCACCCACAAAAGGCAACATTACAAGGGAATTTACAGTTTTTCACCACCTTTAACTAGTGTAATTTTATAACCACCTCATTTACAGTATGTTGTTATTGAGAAATTCCAGAGAGCCAACCTCATGCTGTTCTTTAGTGCCTTGAAGTCATGTGACCATAAGCATGACTCTAGCTTGAATGCTGCATTCCACTCTGCTGTAGCATGACAGTTTCGTGGTCACATAAGTCTGCATGAACATGGCAGCCTTTTATGGCAGTGAAGCTGTGCAGGATTGTGTTGCATTAAATCTGATGTGCTTATATTATGTGGTCTGTGTTTTACAGGTCCTCTGTGTGGGCAGCTGTCCGCCACAAACAGGAATATATCTGTGAGTACTAATGAAGTAACAGTGCGTTTCATCTCCGGCACTCACCGTTCAGGACGGGGCTTTGTCATGTCCTATTCAACCAATCAGCACTCAGGTAATGGCTCATGTCCTGCAACACAACACTTCCAGCTCCATCCCACGTCACCTATAAACAGTAGAGAAAAAAATAGGACAACAAATCAACAAATAAGAGCTAATGGCTACATGGTTCTTTTTCCTCTGAGCATGTTGTATATGATCAGAGTAAACACACCAAGGACTGTTTGTACAGCTTACTCCATAAACAGGACTTCATCTGACTGTGGGAGTGGAAGTAGTTCCCATCCTAATCTCAACTACTGTTTACACTCGTTTCCAACATAATATGTAAATTGTTCTACCGGAGGTCGCACGCAAATCGCTAAATAAACACCCTTACATGTGTCAATGTGGTAAACTACACTAAAGTAATGTCTTTAAGTGTCCATCTTTACTTTTGTTAGTAAAAACGTTTCCTATTCCCTGTTTTTGATATATTTTTATAGTGGGACCAAGGCCCATTGTGTACACTCCTGGGTAAAAAAAAAAGGGCCAAGCCCCAAAATGTCTAAACACTAAGCTTTTAATTGTCTTCACCACAAATTATTGGTCAGGAAAAGTGCTAAATCTAAGCAAATGCACTACTTAAAAAGCCATTGCTGTCTCAGAAAAACACTAAGACAGAATTAAGTTTTTGGCACATCAGGATTTTCGAAGTCGTCATTTGATTGGTTGAATTCTACAGGATGTCCCCGTGTGTCGCATTCTTTAACGGTACGCCTGGAAATAAAGAATGCATGACGCCAAATCCCCTCATGGAAGAAGAACGCCGTCGTGTTTACAAGTGTGACAATGAGCGCTTATCAGGATCAACTCAATTCTGGATTTTCAAAAGTATGTAAAGTTCGCGGCATAGAGTCTTTAAAATACGTCCCAAGAGTTTTCCTGGTCTGTTATTGTAGGGACATCGACGTTACATGTTCACACCTCTAAACATACTCATGAACCGTTTGAAGTCATTAACATTAAGTGGAACAACACTGACTCTTCTCCCTGTAAAAAGCTGTCTGCAAGTTTGCGAAGGCTATTCCGTGCTTTATCTACAGCATAATCTACAATTCCTTACCAGTGATTTGGGACTATTAAAAGACCTCTTAATATTTTGCCATTTGGCCCAATTTTTTGGTATTTTTTGCCCAGGAGTGTAGGCTTTAGAGGACCTCAATGGGCCGGCCCTGGATGTAGGGATTTTAAAAAGTGCGTTAGGGTGACCGACTGGAATGCGGCTCTCCTCCTTGGCTGAGTTTCAGAGTGTTTGCTTTGTAAGCAGGGCAGCAGACTGCCGCTCCTGGCTTGAATAAGGAGAGGCCCCAGTGCTTGGGCACACACTGAAGTAGATGGAATGCTGTATGCTCACTCCTCCTGCATAGACAAGCACAGCATGACAGCTTAACCATCACCTGACCACACAGTAGCAGTCACTCATGGCAGTTCCTGACCGGCTGGCATACATCATTTCAGAATCTTTTCTTTAGCAGTTTTAAGCTTTTAACTCTCATAAAGTGAATATATTCTTTGCTTTGTAAGCATAAAATATATTTATTTTGATATTTACAGTCCCTGTCAAAATCGTGGACACATATACTAATTCTTTCATATTCATACTCCAGTCTTCAGTGTGTCATGATCCTTCAGAAATCATTCTATTATGCTGATTTGGTGCAAAGAAAAGTTTCTTTGTATTATCAATGTTGAGAACAGTTGATCTGCTCAGTATTTTTGGGAAACCGGAATAAAGAATTTTAGGATTCAGGATGAATAGAAAGTTCAAAAGAATAGCATTTATTTGAAATATACCTTTTTTGAAACTGTGTAAATAAAAAATAAAAAAAAATATATATATATATATATATATAATATATATATATATCCCATTACTGAACTCAGATGTAACTTTCCAGAAAATATCCCTTTAAGTCAATGTTTTGTCAAAAGTTCGCACTTTGCTCCAGAGTTAACAGAAGTGGCTTCCTTCCTTTCCTGTGTATTTAGTTGTTTATGTAAAGCCCTAGACAACTTGACTGTGCTATGCATCAAATACTGACCTTCTCCTGAGAGTATACACTGATACATCAAATTCGTAAGACACCATTTTGTCAAGTCAGTTTGGGAAATGTAGACTACAAAAAGCCAGTGTATATGAGCACATGTTCCGAATTGTAACTGTCAGTGCTATTTCTATCCCATAGAGCTCGTTTCATGTCTGCGTCGAGGGACACATTTCTCCTCTCAGCAAATTAGGTAAGAAAAAATCCTCAAAAATGACCTGACATTACAGCAACAAAAAAAAAATCATCAGTCTGAATAGTCCCACTCTTTCTTGTAGGTTACATTTTAATGTTTATTATCTGAATCCTGGACTCACTTGTGTTCCAGTGCGTTCTGTCCTGCAGGCTGCAAAGGTGTTGCAGGAGAAATCTGGGGCTGGCATGGACAAGGCTACCGTGATGTAAGCTGGGTTTTTATCTGTGTGCAATATAGAGAGATTATTAGTCATGGCATTTGAATTTACTACCATATGTGGATTAAAGCCCGACCGATATATATGGGCGGGCCGATATTATCGGCCGATATTAGGCATTTTCCTAACTATCGGTATCGGCATTTATAATGGCCGATAAATGAATATTTTTTTTAAATGCGGGTGCGGTGATTCATGTTAGGACGGCGCTGCCAATAAAGCACATAAAAGCTGTTACAAAGAATTGGCAAAAGTAATGATTATGAAGTTACAATTATAGCAAGAAGACATTTTAATTGTTTATTAATAAACAAGTGTTTTCAGTCAGTGTCGCTGCAAAGTTGACAACGCTGACTCAGTGAACACGCCAGAGAGAAATGCACATTTCATACGGATTACAGCAGAGAGCAGTCTGTCTTTCGTTTTGAATTGTTCTGTTTAAAAGTAGACATTTCAATATAGATATATTTCTCAGGTCTATAGCCTATGCTGAGTTTCGGTTAATTCATGAGACGAGTTGCAGTTCACGTGCCGGCGCCTCCATGTCGAGATTATCTATTGTCTGCTATATTTACTTCTTATTTATTAAATCCAGGCAATTGGTTGATGAAACATTGATTCAAATTAAGACACAATTAATACAAAACGAAATTCACTTTAATGAAAGGCTTTATGTTTTCTGTTTGAGGTCTCTGAAAGTTTTAAAGTATTTTAGTGCCGCTTTCAGAGCTTGTCACATCCGTTTTTCCTCATAAATGCGAACACGAAAAATAAACTAAAATGAATATTTTATGTTCTGTTGAGAGCCAACCCTTCTTCATCCGGTGGGTAGTAGCCTATTACTTTTGATTTGCGCAGTGTAATTCACAGAATTGATTTCTCTGCTACCAGCCTCTGTCACGTATTGTGTGAGCTTGTGATGAGTATAGGGAAAGCGCGCAGCTGAGAAGTCCTGTCTGCTATATTTACTTCATTTTTATTAAATCCAGGCAATTGGTTCATGAAACATTGATTAAAATGCGTTGCGCGAGCGACAAATCTCCGACAAGTAAACTGATGATGCCCCATTCTGCTTTGTAACGGGCGCTTTTTCGCGTCTAGGGTAAACAGCTGTTGCGACGCGAGCAATAACGGCCGTGTCCGGTGTAGACAGTGTTGAAGCTCATTCTAGCTATAACGCTACAACATCAAGCAATATTCCAATAATTTATATAATTATAACACTATGTTTCACGTTTAGTACATTTTGCTTACTACTTATTTACAAATAGTATAAAAGTACTGTACATATGTAATTAAAAACGTTTTCATTATGATATTATTCATTTTACTTTAGTAAAAAGATCTGAGATCTTCCTCCACTGGTAGAGATTAGAGGAATTAAGACTAAAAATAGAAGATCATATTTTACATTAATACATGATTAACTAACTGTATTTTTTCTATGTACATTTCTGAAATGCAATTTCTGTAAAGCTGCTTTGAAACAATATGTATTGTGAAAAGCGCTATACAAATACATTTGAATTTAATTGAATAGTAAGGTTTTGTCAGTGACACTTTTGATATATTTATTGATACAAGTTATGTTTTATATAACGTGACTAAATTAAAAGACAAAGTCATTAGTGAAGATTATGCAACAGTATTTAGAATATAATATAATATAACATGCAATGCAATGCAAACTAGTTTGGTTACAGCTCAAGTGTATCATTCTCATTCTATTATTCACCGTGTCTTCATTACATATCTTTGTCACACAAGTGTTCGATCACCACATTTGAGTGATCATTGCAAAACGTTTATACATTTATTCTGTTTATACTGTGTATTCTATATACAATACCCATCAAAAGTTTGTACACACCAATAGTGTCCAAAATTTTGACTGGTACTGTACTATAATACACATACATAATATTGCTACTATATTATAATATACACATAAATAATATCGGCCGATATATCGGTATCTGGCTTTTTTTTATCGGTATTGGCCCCCAAAAATCCATATCGGTCGGGCTCTAATGTGGATTGATACCAGAAACTGTGTTTTTAAAAACTCAAAAAAGTCACTTTTCATTAAGGTCTTTTGAGAAGAGGAGTGTGAACATTGAATGATGTAATATTCTAACATATGCGTGTGTTCGTGTTTTCTAGACCTCTGTATTATGCAAAGCTGCAGTCCATGCAGGGGTTATTTCGGACAGTTTGGGGGGCATGATCAACGTGTCTCTGCAGAGGGGCATTACCTTGTATGAGTCGAACTTCGCTAATGGAGTACTGTCGAAAACGTGAGTGTGTGGCATGTTATGCAAGTTATACTGACACTTGGTGGTGTGGATGCAGCATCACACAAAAGCAAAGTTTTGTTTTACTGACTTATGAGCCGTTTACATGACACTGTTTTCAACTAAATATGGAAACCGTTTTATGCCTTTTCGCATAACTACTGGCCTGGCAGTATAATGTAATCGTTTTCGTGGATCTGTGTGAACAAGAACATTGTCGTTTGCATGTGAAAAACATGAAGGAAAAAACATTTCCATTTTTAGTACATCAATGTTGTGTAAACGTACCCTTAGAAATGTGTTAAAGTGTTCGATAACAGGAGGGCCATCAAGATAAACTGAGTAGCATTCAACTGGTCATTTGATTTTACCATGGTGGCCTCCATGAGATGACCCAAATAAAATAAAAAACAACTTTTTTTAGGCTATTGATGTGATTTGCGTGTACCATGTTATTATTTTACAATAAATAATCTATTATATATATTTTTACAGCGGCTCCTTGTCAGATAAACGGCTCGTCTTCCACAGAGGTAACAACTGTTATTTTCCTGTATGTTAAGTATGATTTGTATGATTTCAAGAGATATTATTTGAATTCATAGCAAATGTAATTCAGTAACATTGTTTTAAAATTCTTGTTGAATTTTGGCTTTGCTCTGCATGAATTTATTTTTGATAATGTTTCTTTAACTGCAAATCAAAGTCAAGTTGTAATCACAAAAATAACACTAAATATATAGGATTACTGTAATTTAAATTGTACAATAGGTTTTTTTTATACAACATAAGCCATTTAAAAAAAAAAACCCTGACATGATTATTCTTTATAATAATAGATGTAAATAAGCTGGTTCAAAAACATCAAACATTTACTGCTTTATTCTCAAATGTCTCATTTTTAATTGCATTTTAAAATAGAGTTCTTGGTTTAATTGGATCCTAATACCAGGAATAAGCCCGTGTGTGAGTGTTCAGGAATAAATGACAGTTTATCTAATACACAGTTACACCTTCTTCTACATGATACTTACACCTTAAACATGCTGTTAGTGCCTATTTGTAATTATACATTGCTAGAAGATAAACACTAACAACTGAAGACTAACAATTACAATGTATAGCATAATCTTTACTTGTCTGAACAAGTTCTGTTCCCTTTCCACGCGTGTCCAGAGTGTGACAGGGAGCTAACGGTGGTGGCCTATAACACTTCTTCGGTGTGGGATGAGGTGAACAGACTGGGTCAGAAAGTCTCCTGGGCTCCGGGACACGGGGGCTCTCAGTGGGCTGCGAGCTCTGGGGACCAGCAACCGTGGATGGAGCTTGAGCTGTGGAACAGGAGTAGTGTCACAGGTCAGAGTTCATTGTGCAAACATCTGCTGTAATATTAGAGCAAAAGTGAATGTTACAAGAAGCACAAAAATATTTTTTTTCTACATCTGCTTTCAGGCATCATAACAAAGGGTACGGCACATTACTACATTGAATCTTACTCCCTCATGTTCAGCAAAGACCGCAAAAACTGGAAAGTCTACAAAGCGGCATCGAGCAAAGACAAGAAGGTACATAATGCTGCACATTAGAAAAATACCGAAAGAATTTTCACTTAGAGTTCATTAGTAAGGACGAAGGACATTGAATTAAACGTGAATTTTTGAAGTAGAAAGACTGAAATAGTATTTTCTTGTAAAACATGCTCCAGTAATCTTTGTTTTATTTACAGCTTTGAAAAAGCCTCAGTAAACCAGTTTAAGGTGTTAAAATATGCGCATATTTACATAAAAAAGACAAATGGACATTGGACACGAACACATTTTGTGTGAATGTTACCTAAACAGTTACTCTTATATACATTAGGTATAATCTCTGTCTTGGTTTTATTTTATAATATAAATAATCTTTTATATTCATATTACCAATTTTTTCTCTATGTTAAGGTGTTTGAGGCCCATTCTGATGGTCATGTGACGGTGCTCAACAGTCTGATTCCTCCAGTAGTAGCACGCTACCTTCTTCTGAAACCCCAGAAGTGGCATATCAGGGCCTGTGCGCAGGTTCAAGTGCTGGGCTGCCCTTCTGCCCCCCTCAGAACGCGTTCCTATGGAGACGGTGAGGGCCTGCTACAGAATCTCTTTTAAGTTCCAATATAAACTTCAGTTTAAACATTTTTATAGTACATATAGGCAATAAAAGACCATTGTATTGGTCGAAGTCCAAACACACTATGGTAAATTAAGAATTTTAAGAATGAAATGAATTCTTAGTCTTTTGAACCTGTGATGAATTCTTTCAATTTATTTTATTTAGAATTGAATACTGGGAAGGCAGTTGTCCCAGAGACTGTGCCTCTACAAACTCTGCCCACTGAGAGTCCTGTCATCACAAGAAGCTCAGGTGAGGTGAATTTGTAAGTTAATCTGCGAACATCATGATGTGTAAACTGGTAGTAGATTTGTTTTGAAAGGCTAAATCTTTTCTTATTATTTCCCTACAGGCCCCAGTCAAGCAGTGATATTAGTGGCAGGCATGGTTTTGGGAGCCGCTCTGTGTGTGGGTTGCCTTTTAGCTGGGCTTATTTGGTGGAGAAGGTAACACACTAATTGTTTCTTATATAGAATAATATATCAAAATAAGAAATATAAAAATACCTTCTATAATTTACATGAATATTAAAAATCAGGCATGTCACCATAACAAATATTGATATATGAATTTTAACTCAAAATTGAAAGAAAAAAATATTTATAGAAATTGTATAAATTATATTTAATATAATTGATAAATATTGTATAGTGTATATAAATTATTTTTTAAATACAAAATGAAATGCAGTGCAACAAATATTACCATGATGTTTTACTGGACCCAACAATAATGAATCTGATTGTGCAATTGAGGTTAATTGGTAACTTCAGTTGAGGTGTCTAATATCTGTTAATTGTAAAAAAATTTTTTTAAAAAAATTTAAAACATCAAATATCCACAAATTGCAAATGTATGATTCTATTCCATAATTTGGGGATTTACTTTAATTTAAATATAAATTATATAAAATAGGAAATAAAATTAAATGCAGTACCATGATTTTGACATTACAGTAATACAATTTTTTCACTGGGTCTAAAAATAATGTTTGAATGGTCCAAAAAATTTATATTAAAGTTCATATTAATTAAGAAAAATATTATTCCTTTTTGTATTATTTTGGGGTGAAATATGACCCAGACATATTCTTGACAGGTTTTGTAATATTTACGTGGGTTTTTTTTTTATTTCAGAAAAAGAAATGCACAAATAAAGAAATGCTGTGTTGACCAAGGTAACCTATTGCTCTGTATCTCTAGTACTGTTTTTTTATATGTCTCCTATATGTTGTTGATATATTTCCTGAATGACGTTCTTTGTCTCTGCTTAAGGCTGTCAGGGTTTCCACGGGAAGAAGCTTTCGTGCACAAACCCAGAGCTTGTATCTTACCCTCTGGTTCGGAACATCCACGATGCTCTCCCCAACCCTCCTCTCAATGGTAAGACATCCACAGAGCTTTTTAGACAATTCATAAAGGAATGTTTCAAACGGCAAATGAGACAAGGCAGTGTTTGTCGAGATGACGCCGCTGGGTACAACAGTTCTCAGAATCTCAGATCAACAGCCCTCAGACATTGCAGTAATATATAGCATTGAATAAGAGGGTTAATGTGGCTCAAACAGCGGGACGGAAACGGAGAGAAAGCCAAGTAGTCATTCTGACCCCTTTGTTCGCTTGCCCCACTCTGTGTGCTTTTGCTCAGCTGAGCTGCCAGTGGAACTCAGAAGAGACATGACAGGCAAATGGCTTTCATTCTGAGCTCATTCCTCCAACAGTTGCTCAGTGGCAGCATAAACATGTCTTTCTTTCGTACGGCATTGCTTCCCTGAAAGGCTTCTTTAATTGGAGCCCAAATTAGGGGCATTCAAGTCAGAAGAGCACCCTCCTCACCACCCACTGGCCAACAGACCCTTCAGTAAGGGGTTCTGGGATGAGGAGGACAGAGGGTCAGTGGCCAAGACAGTCAGAGTCCTTTCTAAAGTCGCTTCAATTAAAACGGCTTCGCCCTCTTAGCATTCCTGCTGAGTGAGTGAAGGACTGAGAAGGAGAGGGGGAACCATGGGACCCCTTTCACAGCCCGAACTACTTCTGGATCGGTGCAGTGGGATCATGTTGGAACTTTATAATGCTATATATCTGTTCTGTCAGATTTTGCGATGCAAACGACAGTTTATCCATGCTGGCAAATAATCATGGGCACCCGATGTGAAATATATCAATAATTTTAGTACGGCCATTCAAAACATGTGGGTCAAACATGTCGCATAGCAATACGATGGGGGTAAACACAGAGATCGGATACCATTATTGTCTAAAGTGAATGTAAACAGGCGGGACAAAAAAAAAAAACGGGTATGGGTTGGCCAAGGGAAAAGCTAGCCCTGGGCACGAAGGCCAATCTAGGGAGAGTTTATTCACTATACCATGAATCTGACAAGTTTTTGAAACTATTCCATTACACTTTCTTTTTTTAAATGAAAGAAAATGTTATGTTATATTAATGTTATTTTTCCTTAATTGGGGGTTTGCAAATATTTTTTATTATTTTATTTATTTTAAAATCATATTTTTAATAGCAAACAACAAAATAATAAATATTAATATTACTAATAAATAAATAAATAACTTGTATCAACAGGATTACATATTAAATAAAAATTGTATGTTATTTGTTGTTATTGTATTCAGGCAATGTTTGTCCTCTAATAGGACATTTTTTATATATATATAATTTCATTTAAAATCATTATCATTATTTTTTTTTAAATAAGAAATCGTAAGAAAATCATAAAAAAAATTGTCAAATTAAAAAAATTCAATATATAACAATTTACTCTGATCCTGTTGGGGGGAAAAGGCATTAAATGCTTTATTCATTAAAATTATATTAATATTTTCTAAGTGTATTTGATGAAGTTTATTTACTTGAATTAAATCATTTACATCAAGTACACTTAGAAAATACTGATATAATTTTAATAAATATAGCATTTAATGACACATTTTTAGTTTGTACAGGTCCAGATGACAAGAAATGTTGGAAATTCCTTTATTATATTGTGTTCAAGTCATGTCAGAAAGATCATATTTGCGTGAATATGAACATCACCACAAAGTCGTAATTATGAGTGGGAAACTCAGGATTTTCTTTAAGACCAAACTTGTTGGGGGCTTCACTGAGAAAATATGTTGGATGCAATGAATGAAAATAAATCTAAGTTGCATGTACAAAATACCATAGTGTTGAACAATTACGATAACAAGGATTCAATTAACAGCACCTTCTTAAATTGAAAATGTAAAAAGGGAGATCACTATCTTGCAGATACCAAAGTGATTTGAATACACCTAACGTCATAATTAAGACTTCCTAACTCGTAAACACGAACTTCCCAGGACGACTTGGGATGTTTGTTCTTGGCATCAAATGTCCAATGATCAGGAATATCTACTTCCTATTTATCTATTATTCCTAATTCTACTTCTATAACATTTCGCTGTTGTTTCCAGACTATGCTGAGCCTGATGTAGGAGCAGGTGGGCAGATGATGGGACTCACATTCCGACCCCCAATAGAGGAGGGCTACACCATCCCTTTCACCCTCAACCACTACGACACTCCCGGACAACTTCCCGAATACGCCGATCCCCTGCCACCCGAACCAGAATATGCGACACCCTTCGGCGAAATGCCCACAGACTCAACACTGGACAGCCGACAGAATCTACCTGCGTGTCGATCTACACAGGGCGCAAGAGCAGAGCCGGGCCAACAACAATATGACTGCCCCGCACACAGAGTGATCTCAAACGGGTACTGTACTCCAGTGTCACATGGTACTAGCCAACATAATGCTAGCGTGATCTACTTTGAGCCCCAGACGGTAGAACCACTATTGCATACGTACCATGAGCCACTTTGAGCCAAGATGGAATCTCCTACCGAAGCCAATTTGTGACATTTGTGCTGTTATAATGTAACCTAATGAATGATACACAGAATTATGCTGTGTTAAATAGCATCAGGGATCAGCATGTAAAGAAATTATTATGTGGGTGTTAACAAAAATGTAGGAAATGGGAGAAGTGCTTTTATAAGGAAAGCTGTATTGTTCAGATGACCACTGAACCCGTGTATTTTTTATTTAATGTAAATGTGGGCGTTTTATCTTTAACTAATCAGAATATAGTCCAAGAGGATCTGTGTCTGTGTGATTTCAAACCACTGAAGTATTAAAAAATATATTACATTTTTTTATAGTTGTAAAATAAACTCGTGACATTTTCATACCAAAATTCAAGTGATCTATCTTCTGTGCTATCTTTTGCATGCTATAAAAATAATTTAAAGGTGCATTAAACTGCTCTCTCTCTCTCTCTCGTTCTATGGTTTTAAGTGTCAGGGCCCGTAAAAAAAAATCATCTCCCGATATTTAGAATTTTGTCTGCAGTACCCATTTCGACCACTAGCTGTCATTCTTACAGACTGCACCTTTAAGTGTTGTGAACTGTGATCTCAACACACAAAAAAACATAGCACTTAATGTACAATGTAATAGTTGTTTAACGTCATGAACTCGGTTTCCAGGAGTAGTATCAAACACTACTTTTCTGGTACAGCCGGATGCCTGCTGGTGTTTGACCTGGGTAATCGGGAGTCTTTCAACTACATTAAGCATCGGCACAAGGTGGTGTGCAATATTGTGCAGCCGTACACTGTGCTCTTCATGCTTGTGTGACACAAGTGCGACAAAAGAGCAGGAGGTGAATCAATACGAGGTGGAAGAGTTTGCAAGTGAATTGGGAACGCCGTACATCGAAGCCTCTGCCAAAACAGGCCACAATGTGGCAGAAGCTTTTGAACTGTTGACCCGGGGCATTTATCAGGGTTTTCTGAGTGGAGAGGTGCGCTTGCATGAGAGCTGCAAGATCCATGACAATAAATCAGCGAAAAACAAGACCAACAAGGATAAGCCAGCTGAAAACAACAAATGTTGTGCTTCATAAAGTCAACAATAAACTGAATTAAGATGATTTTTCCATTGATGGCCATTCAAAAGTAGCCATGCATTCTGACAAAATAAACAAATATATATGCAAAACATCATACACCACTATAAATCAATAAATAAGTTTATTAATAAATATTTCATTTTGTTATATGACCTACTGAAAAACAAAACAAAATTCACACAAAATGTCTCAGGTTGATTTCATTAGGGGTGAAGAGATGGTGGGAGCTATCAAAAGCAGACAGTGTAAAGTTTACACACTCTGTGAAGAGACACTAGGAAAGCAGGTGTTGCTGGTGTAAAATCACAAACCGAAACTCTCAAGACTCTTTCATTCAGATAGGGACACGGACACCCCCAATTTAGTAATCATTTTTATTCTCTGCGTTTGTTATTTTTATTTCTTATGCATGATATTTTTATTTCTCATGCATCTGTTGTGATCATTTTTATGGTTATTTTAATTCCTTTTTATGTAAAGCACTTTGAATTGCCATTGTGAATGAATTATGATGTGTAAACAAACTTGCCTTGCCTTTATTAAAGGGCCCCTATTATGGGTTTTTGAAAATGACCTTTCATGTAGTGTGTAATTAGTGAATGAAAACATCCTGCAAAGTTTTAAATCTGAAAGTGCACCGTATATAAAGTTATTGTCTTTCAAAAGTAAGAGTCGACTCTGAGTCAATGAAATGAATCGGTTTTCAAATAAGCCGTTTCGTTGTGATGTCAAGACGAAACATTAGCATATTGCCCGCCCACTTATTGTGCGTGCAGACACCAGGGAAAACTTCAACCTCAAACACTGCAGCTGATTCCTGTGGATCCTGGACAGCATCATGTCCAGAAGACGCTGTGCTCTACAATGTGACGGTAAAGCCAGTTTTTTTCCACTGCCCAATGACGAGCATGTAAAGAATCAGTGGTTAAAATTCATCTTTACCACAGCAGTATAATCCTAAACTTTTGCTGTGTTCCCTTTATTTTACTAACGACTGCTTCTCAAATCTCGGAGTTCAATGCAGGATTCGCAAACCGTTTGCTCTTGAAAGATGGTGTTCAAAATACTTAGTTTTGAGTTTTATATTGTGTTGGTCTCCTGCTAACTGGCTAACTCACATTATTACTGTCTTACTGAAATACTTCTAATCAGTTGTGGGCCACTATTACCTAAAACTGTGTCTATTAATGCAGATTGTCTGTCGTTCTCACTACTTTGAGGAAAGATTAAGCATGGAGCAAGATTTGTTTTACCAACGTTTATGTTTCATCAGTCATTCAGCTAACTTAACTTGAGCTTAGCTAATGTAGCGCAGTTATTAATACAGTTTCCACATGTTCACCGCAATAAATTAGAAAAAAATACTATGTAAATAAATAAGTACAAGTAAAATAATCAGTTTGTTAATGGACATGCACTTGTTAACGCTGATGGTGAGGAATTACAGTTGCAACATCTAATAAAGTAGGCCTACCTCAAACTGAGTAGTGAATCACTGAGAAAAGTCCTGCTCGAGTCGTCCTTGGGATGGAGGTTCGGGTTTAATGAATAACTTAGTTCTTAGTTCAATGTTTCATCATCGGACTCGCGCTCGGATTGATATGGTAAAATCGACGTCATTGTTCATTACTGTGTTTAGTTTACGGTGTAGGACAGTAACGTGCGGTGAAGTCTTGTCATGGGTAGGCTGTGACCTATCAATATTCACAGGGGCGTAATTTGCCGCTGCGATCGGTGGCGTGGTTACAGTTATCTCGTGGCTCACGCAGTCTTCACATGCACGCGCGGAGACTTTTTGTTCGTTCCGGTGAAATCACAAAACAAAAATGTACACAAACGTGTCCCTGCTTAATATAATACAACCACTGATGAACATATTCGGTTTTGATGAGAGAAAAAAAAAAACCTATACGAGTGCGGATTAGAACCCCGAACCTCTGACATGCTCGGCAAAAGTTCCACCACTGGACCATTAAAGGACTCGCAACAAATGGTCGGATCTATATATTTATTCACGTGATTCATTCATTTATACACACATATCCGCGCACACATACACCTGTCCCACCCACTTTTTAAAACAAAGTTAAGCCACTGTATATTCATTCAGGTAATTTAGCAACCCAAGTTAATATCAGGCATCATCACATCGCTGCCTGCATACAGAGCAAAGTCAGAATCGCGGATTGAGTGAGAGCGAGTGGATCACGTGATATGAAGCAGTCTCGGTCTCTGCCTCAATGTTGATAATTCAAAACAGCATGAGAACTGACTGCGCATGCGCAAATCTCCGTGAACTGCGTTCTATGGACCAAAGAGGCACTGCGAACCTCTGCCTCAATGACCATGGCCTTGAATTTCCTGCATGAAACAATGGTTTTTAGGAGCAAACTGTGGCAAAAGGAGTATTATATAAGTATTCCTGATTTTTTTTTGTTACAAAAATTAATATTTGGAATAAAATAAATGCAATTAATAATGTGGTGAATTAATAAAGCTCTTGGGATTAATAAATGTAATGTCAGCATTTCCTTTGGTGAGGCACTGCCTACCCTGACCGCACGTCCCTGGTGTAGGAAGCCTCGGGACAAGCAAAGCTGACGTTGTTGTGGAAATGGTTGTTCTCTTACGAGACGTTCTCTCGTATTGCGTAAGCTAGCTTACGCTGCGGGAAAGATTCATCTTTTCTGAGAAATTGAAGCCAAAAATTATCCTATAATTTTGTATCCATTGTCAACGCAGTTCAGCTGCAGTAGAGCATGAGCAGGCTAGCTAGCAGCTCATTGGCTCGCTCACAGGGAACTGCTTAAGCCTATGAGGAGACACGAATGAACTCTCGGCCAATGAGAGTCTGACCTGCTCTCATTGCGTCAGAGCCCGCCGAAACGGGCGTGGCCAGAGAGTATAAATTCGCCTCTCAGGCTGCAAACTCCGATTTTCATCTCTTCAGCGAGGCTACATGCATCTGCTGATCCTGAGAGAAGCCGCCGTCGTGGAAAAGGCACCTTCTAGCGAGCATCTGGGAGACTGAGGAAGCCGGCCGTCTTCGCCACCTTCAGCCGTCCTACAAGCTAGCGCCATCCGACGGATTCATATCCTTTATCAAAAGCTTCTTGTTTTGTGTGTGTGTGTATCTAAAAGAGCCGAGCGTCTTTGTAAAGATGTCTCGTTTTTCCTCCTGCGGTTCTTGCCGCGCTCCCCTCGAGACTGGAGACCGCCACGTCATCTGCGCTCTCTGCCTCGGATTGGAGCACGCCGAGCTCGCCCTCGCCGATGGCGGCTGCGATCTCTGCGAGGAGATGCCGTTGTCGACCCTGCGGGCTCGACTTCAGGCCACTAAAGCTGCTTCCGCGCCGGCTTCGACTTCGCCGCGTAAGAAGAAACGCCGCTCGCAGAGGCCGCCGGAACCCCAGCCAGAAGCGTTCATCCCGCCGGAGCCTGTCGCCTCCCGCTCTCCTTCTCCGCCGCTTCCGGACATACAGTTGCCGCCGAGTGGCATCAAGGAGACATGTTCGCTTCTCGCTTCAGACAGTGAGGATTGGTCCGGTTCTCACGCCTCTTCGGCCCAGGAATCCTCTAGGACCCGCGCTGGAATTGAGGAGGAATTAGTGCGCCTCCTCTCACAGGCCGTCGAACGCCTCGGGCTCGATTGGTCTCCTCCCCCCGAGCAGACCATCAACCGTATGGACGGCAGCTATTTCCGCCAGCGCTCCACTCCCGTCACTAAACGGGCCGCGCCCTTCTTGCCTGAACTGCACGCGGAACTCACAAAGTCCTGGAATGCCCCGCTCTCTGCCAGAACTCGCTCCGACTCTTCCGCCCCGCTTCGCGTTGTGGACGGAGCCGCAGAAAAGGGCTATCTTTCCATTCCCCCTGTAGAGGACCTGGTCGCCGCACATCTGTGCCCGCCCTCCACGAGATGGCGCTCATCACCTGTGCTTCCTTCTAAAGCCTGCAGAGCGACTTCGAGCTTCCACGCGCGCGCTTACTCAGCCGCCGGCCAAGCAGCCTTTGCACTTCACTCCATGACCGTCCTCCAGATTCTACAGGGTGATTTACTGCGTGAGTGGGACGAGAGCGGAAAAAATCCCCCCTCAGTCGCGGATTTGAGGAGCGCCACGGACATCGCCCTTCGCGCTACAAAGTCTGCTGCTCAAGCCCTGGGGAAATGT